TTTTTTTCAGTTGAAATTTATTGCTATTATTGGTTGGAGTTCATTCAACTGCTGAACTTCTGTTCTGATTTTTACGGGTCTCTCTCAATGTAGTTGCACTCTCATTCGAAAAATCTTTAAGAAGTCGTCGAAGGCATTTCTGCGACGACGATACGTTCGTTAACTGACTGTGTTGTTGTATAAAAGTTCATGTTGTTGTTTAAGATCATCAGTTCAATATAATTATCAATCTTGTGACTCTTAAGAATTTAGTGTATCTTGAGACTGGACACGAGAAGATAAATGCTTTTGGTGAACGAATCATTACTGTTTTGTTCTTGAGACTGAAAAGGCAAAGGTTCTTGAAACAAGTGGAAATGCACGTTTCGCACTGAAATTACCAGCAGAGAGATTACAATGAAAGATAACGGCAACGGATAATCTTCAACTAATAAAGACTAGCTGTTGGTGAACAATGAATACTACATTACAATGAATATTTTGCAATCACTCAGAAAACGAACAAGTTGATACTAAAGATCGAGTGACGCTGATATTATTACGATGAAAATGAATCGATATGAGTATTTCTTATCACCACCATTACCCCTGATCATTCCTATCATTATCATTCTCAAAGATACTGCTATTCAAAAAATCATGAACAAGACCCTGACTGAACAAATCAAATCAAACGAGCGATTATCACCAACCGTTAGTGCTAAAACCGATCCACTTGAGGTATCTGCATAGTTTTCTGGAGATGTAGGTTTTACCGCGAGCCGGAAGACCGACCATGACGATAACATTGGGCAGATGCACCGGGTCGGTGGTGGGTCCATCCTCAAAACGCATCGCCATTTTGCGTTTTGACGACTTTGTTACACCGATCAAATTACTACTGCTGTCGTTCTTCATGTTTGGCTCATTCAGTTAGTTCAACGTCTCACCAATTCAACGTCGAACAGTCGACCGAATGATTGATAAATACAGAAGTCTGCAACTTATATCGTTTGATTTGAAACTCAAACGATGAAATTATGGGACTTCTTCAGAGAACGATGCTTTTAACAGTGTTAACGATCACAATGTACTCGTC